TTTTCACTATGTGCATGTATTACATTGATAAAAATGAAATTTCATTTAAATAAGAATTAACTCATTTCTAAGAAGTGAGAATATCATTTTATTTTATTATTCACTAAGCTCTTCAAATCATAATGCCTGTTACTTAGCCATTCATTCCTTTGTACCACATTTATTACCTGACATTCTGTGCTCATGCGGAATAAGAAGATTTTTGGAGTGTGTAGTTTGCTTGAGAAGAGCCACATGAAAAAAGTAAGAGAATAAATGCAGAACAATATATACTATAATATTAAAACACAATATAATCATTATTATCAACTGCCAGGAGTAGGGCATCTTTCCTACTAGGCAGATTTTCATAACATGTATTGGCATAACGTGATTGATTAGTGAATACAATTTACAATACACAGATTATGATTTATTATTACACAAAAGTCTTCAAAAATTATCAAAATGTGTGTATAAAAAGATCATTTTATGAGTATAGGAAAACTTATGTTTCATAAAAAAACATGAACACAAGCTATTTTATTTTCATGCCTAGATTCTCATTTGGCATCCACTTTTTAGTTTTATATTAGAATTGTGAACTGTGCTACAATTTGTTTTGATGGTTTCCAAAATAATTGAATTTGGTCTGGTCTTATGCAGTCTTCAAGGTTTACTCAGTGACATTTAAGTTGCTTTCTTTTTTATCCATTTGCATCAGACAGTTTACTACTTTCAGTTTTCAAGAATGTACACATGTATTTTTCTTCACTATTTAAATTCCCAGAAAAAAGATAACTCTGCTATGGCAAAGCTGAAACCTCCTAATTCCCAACCTCTTCAGCCCCACTGAAAGAGTGGTTTTCGTTATGCACTTCTTTATTAACTTGAGGTTTCCTTGGCAAGCATCATTGCTTGAGTGCAGAACAGGCATTCAAATATTTAAGAACAAAAAGCAGATAATGAAATAATGGGTCATGATTAGATAATGAAAACCACTGTGTCAGTCCAACAAATTTTGTCAACTTGTCTCATTTAGTTGCATCCAATGAGAGGTAGGGTCCAGTGAGGTCTAGGGCTGGGGCAGAAATTTGGGCAACATCCAATAGTTGAGGTAACTGGTAATGATGCTACCTTATAGCCAGATGCACCTCGTTCTTCCATGGTCATTTCCCCCTCTTTGTTTTCTATTGTCTCTTTTTATTCTTCTTTGTTTCCCATTACTCCTGTCTTCCCCCCATGCCTTTATCCTGCCAAACATATTTATTTAGCATGTATTGTGGACAGGGCTGATAAGCAGTATACATGTATTAACTTATTAATCCTCACTACAGCCCAATGGGATAGGTGTTATTGGTAATTTCCATTGTACTAATAAAGAAACCAAGAGACAAGATGAACTCCCCAAATTCACATAGCTGGAAATCCCACATTCTTGATTATTACATTATACTTAATTGTTACTTATACACTACTTAACAAGCCAGATGCTGTAAGGTACCGGTACCCTTGTCAGCTGCCTCCCCCATACACAAACAAGACACTTAAAGAAGCCCAACAGGGCTTCCCTGGTGGCGCAGTGGTTGAGAGTCCGCCTGCCGATGC